TTCCTTCATTATATTTATCTTGTTTTCTTTCTTCTTCATTAGAAACATATCTATCTCCCAAGAACTCTGTTCTTAAGGTTTTTTCAAACCTTTTTAATGTTTTTTGTATATTTTGATCATTTAAAGTATTCCTATTATCTAATATTTCAGTTCTACCATCTCCATACTTTATTTTTCCTTTAATAGTTTCTGGTAACTTTTTTCACCATTCAGAAACAATTCCTCTGAATGTATATTCTATAAATCCAAAAGCTGTATATGTTTCCCATTTATTAAATTATATAGCTAAGTCTGTACTTTTCATCCATGTTTCAATAGTTTTATTTTTATTTACACAGTCTAGATCTAACCATATTCCTGTTGTATGGATTGGTTCATTGTAAGATTTCATTGGATTTATTTCTTTTGTGGATTATTTTCTTATATTTCCAGTGTATCTTTTCTGTGTCTTTCTATATTGGTTAATACCTTCCTTAAGAAGTATTGTAGTATAATAAGGATAATCGTACTCTTCATCACTACTGAATTCTATTTCTATATTTCGACTTGTTGATGGATTAGTATTTATCTTTGTATTTTCCATTTTTCCAATTAATTCTTCTAACTATTTTTTATATTCATTATACTCTTCACCAGTAGATTTTAAGAATTTTTGTTCTAGTTTTTCTACATCTGTAATTATATATTGATTTTCTTCATGTTTTTTCCCCTTTATTACTATCTTTTTGTGTTATCCTGAAATCTTGAGATGGATTAATTATAATCATATCTTTTCCTTTAAGGTTCTTATCTAAAAGAGCATTTCCTACTTGTAGATTATGTTCTAAATTTTCTAATCTTTTGTATATATTCTCAAAACTTTCATTTGTAGTATTTTTAGGTAGGTAGGGATAACTTGGTTTTTTATGTTTTTCAACTTTTTTCAAAAAATTTTCAATTATATTTTCTTCATCTACTATATTCATCATAATTTTAGGTTCGTAACATGGCTCTGATACCAGTTCGTCAGAGTGTACAGTGGAGGGGTTAAGATTTTTAATCCAATTAAAATCTTCATAAGTATTTAAAATATTACAATAGAATTTATAAAATTCACTATCTTTTGTCAAAACTTTTTTTTAATAATTATATTTAATTTGTTAATTCTTCTTTCCAGTTTAAGAATTAGTTTATGTATACTATTTTCTATTTTTGATTGCTCTATTATCTATATAAACATTTTTATATTTTAATTTTTGATCTAAATATTCTGTAAAAAAACTCTTCAGATCTTTTTTTAAAAAATTTAATTCATCATCTGTTGCATTTCTTAGATCAATAAAATTTTGTATAATATTTGGGGTTAAATTTATTAAAGATTCATGATCTATATTTCTTTGGGGACCTAATTGGAGGTTTTTATACATTATAATGACTTGCAAATTCTCTATGAGGGGTATTTTTGAAAATATTATAATTCAAAGGCTATTCTTGTAATAATTATTTTTTCAGGTCTAATCTCACAATTCACTATTCTATTTAGGCTATTAGCAGGTATTTCCTCCCTTGACAAACCCTATTTGGGTTGAATTTTGTTGAGTAGATCTAATCGATCAATGCCCGAGAAATAAAAACTTGTCTCCCATTGGCAATCTTAGTTATCCTTGCCACTCGAGGAAATTCAAGAAAAAAGATTTTGTTACCACCACATTTGTTAAATGCCATTCATTTAGGGTGGAGCAATGTTAGTCATGCCTATTAAGAATAAAAGCAACGCTATTCATCACCATTGATATTAGAATAATGACATTTAGTCTCACCGAAATTATAACCTTTGCCTATGTGGCGCTAATGTGGTATTAAATGATATGTTAAATTAAATGACTTATTTCATTTCACTTACCAATTAATACCACATTAACGCCACATAAATTGAGATTATAATCCAAGTGGAGCTAAATAGCATTATTCCCGATGTTAAGCACCAACATATGTGGCAATTACATGACATTAAGTGATAAGTTCATTGAATAAAGCTTACAGAAAACATTTGCCAAGAATGTACAAGAATTTGAAAAGGCTGAGCTGGCATTTAAAAAAAGGCAAAAGAAATGGAAATGAAAACAAAAAATAAGAAAAAGGTCAACAATTTCAGGCTTAAAAGCAAGAACCCATGCCATTTCCCTCGAATTATCCCCGCCACTCCGCCGCTAATTACTCTACATCTCCAGCCACCTCCAGTCAGTTATTTTAAACTTATTTCTTATGCATCTTCGGTTTATTTTTGAAGAGTGAAATGAATCCACGACGGCGAAGAAAGAACTAGTGACTTGACTTCGCACTAGCTGAGAATGAAGGATGACCTAGAAGCTTGAAGATTCAAGGAGACACAACACAACTGAAGCTCATGGCAGCCGAATGAATAGCCATTAATTCAAATCAATAGAAAATATCAATTATGGAGAACTTGAGGGACCAATTAAATTACAGTTTAGTGTTAAAATTGATGGTCTGAAGAGGAATGTAAGCAGGCAAATCGATTATATCGACAAATAAGCAATAAATTATATATTAAAAATGAGAGAAATTCTTGAGAGTTTTTCAATTGGTTTTTGTGTAGTTGGGTGGGGTTGGTGTACTATGTAGTGCAACAGAGAAAGCCAAGACAAGTGTAAGAAGACAGTGTGTGGAAATGTACAAGGGGCCTTTCTCAATCCTATGATGGTTTGTGGAAATGTAATTAGATAGTGTGTGAAAATTGGTTAGAAAATAGCCTTTGTTAATTATATTTTTTTCCTTTATCATGATTGTTTGACAGAAGAAGAGATCCAAAATTATTCCGGACAAGAAACCAAATGTAAGAAATTTCTCAAACCCAAATTTTGCTTCCACTTTCTCAAACCTACAGTGTCAATTTGGTGGGCTTTCATGATTACATTGTGGCCGAACGTGGATATCGATTGGGTAGTCGGAAGTTGGCCGGAGATGGAGAAAGTGAGTGGTGGACTTCTCTGTGAGGTTTTTGGGGGAAAATGGTGATGGAATTAGCCCCTGTTTGTCATCCATTTTTTTCCATTCTTTTTTCTACAGTTTCATTTTTAACAATACATTTTTCATGAAAATAATATTACACGCAAATAAAAAAAATATTCTTTTTTAACCACACATTTTTTTGTTAGATCTTTTCCATTTTTTGTTTACTCTTTTTTTTTCCCTATAGCCACATCATTTATTTTGAATTCGTATAGTTTCTATGACATTTTTCCGTACTTATAGCACCACCCAAATTCATTTAAGTGCAAAATCGCATGACTCATTTAATTGGACTTATAAAGTGTAGTCACCTAAATAGATGCTTTATCACCAATTTACATTGTATTATGCAATAACTTCAATTAAAAATGAAATTACATTATACATTTAATTTTACATTCATTTAATGACGTTTAGTGTCACCTAAATTGATGTTGTAACGTCAGTAATACTAATTAACATTATTCATCAAAAATCTATGTTACAATATAATCTTTTCTAGCATTATAGCCAGTGAACAATGGGTAGGGTAATTGATTAAATATGGACCCGATCTACCGATATCACATCCGACTCGATAAGAATAAATTATGAATCCGATCCAATAATCTAATGAATATTTGATTATTCAATTCATATCTGAATTGCTATGTTATTGAATATTCGATTCAAAATCCGATCGAATATACTTTGCACATTTTTTTTATTGGAAGGGGGGTTCTCAATCTCAATGTAAAATTTATTATAATATATATTAATTTTATATTAGAATTCAATAGGTTTGACATTCTTTATTAAAAATGGAAAATTGCAGCAACTGATCCTAACCTTTTCATTTTTTGCAGATTTTACTTTAATCTTCATTTTGTGTCAGTGAAGGTTTCTAACATTTCATAAATATGCACTTAAGGTCCATCTCGACGAAAACCGTCCAAATCATCGTTAGTTGACCGAAAAAATTAAGAAATCATTATCAAATAAAATCGTCCAAAATACTGTCTAAAAACACTATCCAAAAAGGTATCAACATCGAATAAAATCGTCGCGATAGCAGATAGTTCAAAGAATTTTTCCGATCAATCGACGGTGTCAGGTTCATATTTATGAAATGTTAAGGACATTCGTTAGCAAAATATGAAGATTAGGGTAAAGTTTGCAGAAAACTAAAAGGTTAGGGACCGTTGCTGCAATTTTCCCTATTAAAAATCATAAAGTATAATACAAGTTTCAAAATGAAAAAAAAAAAATTGTAATAAATTATGCGTTAATATATAAAACATATAATATTATTATAACAAATCGAATCAAATTGTTATTGAGTCGAATTTACTTATATTCATATTTGCTATTTAGTAAATAGATTGTAGAAATTGAATCCTAATCGAGTTATCAGATTGAGACCCTAAATATATCTCTCATTAATTTCATCTGTTTTGAATCAAAATTCAATGTATTGACATCTCTAACAGTGGGGCAACAATCCCACTTTCTCATAGACCGAAAATAATCTTCATTTAGAGATGAATACATTCTTTAAAATGATATCAATCTTCATGACAACGAGAAGAGCTTACATTTCAATATCATTGTACAATGTGGCTGTAGCATCCTGGTCCCATAAAGAGACTATGATCACCGGACTAGATAATGACATTATTTCAGCTTAAAAATCGGATCTTCTTTGTCAAGAAGAAGATATACATAGATCAAGGCGAGGACTGAATAAAATTTCACGATGCCCGACATGACTGGTTATTAGAACAACAGTTTTATGTATGACTGCAACTCCAGATATGGAAAATTTAGTGGATAGATAGAACAAATAATAATCACTTCCTTTTCGAGAAAAGGGTAAAGACTTGTTTTTTCAATTCTAAAATGTGAGAACATCTTTTCTTAATGTTTTTTTTACGTTCTATTCGACCAAGGGTTTAGTAACTTTCCTATGATCTTTCATGCAAATTAAGCTGCAAAATGAGATGCAAGAGTAACATCATGCAACGGTTTCCATTTTGTTTGAAAGGAATGAAGTTGAACTCCAATACATAACAACACAGAAAATAACTTAAAAAGATCCCATACCAAGTGTCAATCTCCACTGTCAGAGCTGCCTACATCACTGCTATAATCACTACTGTCATCTTCAATGTCAAGTTGCACATGCCGAACCTGTATTGGCTCTGGTACCTTTGTCAGGCCTGGAGGAGGAATAGGTCTTGTCTGTTGCTCCTCAGCCCCTGGTGGAACAGGAAGGGAATCAAACGGAGGCAATGTGACTGGATCACCAGGCATCCACCCAGGTGGAGGAAGAATTGGCAGATCAGTAGGCAATTCCACAGGCATCCCAGGTTTCCATCCAGATGGGACCGAAAAATTTGGAGGAAGCAAACCTGGAATTGCTGCCAGATTCACCAGTGGATTGCTTTCTGATGGCTGTGCAGTTGGGGTTTCTATGAATGGTTCAATTGTTCTCTCTTTACCTTCATCTGTTTTAGATAAACCAACATCAAGATCTGCAAAGTTATATAACTGTGATGCACGCATCTGCTCCTCTTGCGGTGCAGGCGGAAGTGCCCCCCGGAGAGGAGCCTGTCCAGCACCAAATTCTGGAGGTGCAAAAGTTGTGTAGCTTATCCTGTGGGCGTAGGACAATATATCTGATAATTTCAGCTGAGTTGCCACAGTGGTCGTGGAAGAATATTCTTCATTTTCAATTGACTTAGATCGTTTAGGGTGGCGATAATCAGAATAATCATCAACAAGAATATCAAGAACACGCTCAGCCTCTTTAAGTTTATTGGCAAAAGCAAGAATTGTGGAATCTTTTGACTGGATTTCACGAGTAATCTTCTGTTTAGCATCTTGAAGATCAAGAATCTCTTGGAGTTCAGCAACAGCTTCAAAGAGTTGATTTTGAAGAGATGTGAACTGGGTGAGGATTTCTTTAATGGATGAAGGAGATGAATCTGGTGGAGTAGGTACCAAGGATTGGGTTTGGGAAGACAAAAAGGAAGGAAGGGAGCCTCGAAAGGCACTGAGCCAATGAGAACGATTGGGTGAGACTTCAAAAAGTCTCGAGGCAAGAGATGCTATTCGGAGAAGAAGAGATTGAGCTCTAGGTAGGGGTGGGAGGAGAGGAAGGAGTGTTGAGGAAACGTAAGTTGCCATTAACTGATTTGAGGATTGATTGGGATGGAGAGATTGTGGGGTTTGGGAGGTGAATTTAGGAGGCGTCAGGTTCTGAAGAGATGGTGAATTGGGATTTGGTAGGCCTAGCCTGGCTGGAGATTGCACAATCTGATGTGGAACATTTTGTAGCATTTTGTTCTCCCCTTCAAGGAATCTGAAAAAAGAGTTGGAACTTATCATATATGTCAACAAAAGTACCATTTCAATAGTAGAAAACATACGAAAAAATAAAGATACAATCCTCAAGAGAATATCCATGTAAATCAAGATTTGCATTAATTCCAGAAAAGTTACCCTTATATTTAATTAACATGAGCATAAATTTAACAGGATATGGTATTTCATTGATCGTTTGAAACAATGTGGAAACTCAATCCAGTATAAAGTAACAAAAACAAAATCCACAGTCAATTTACAACAGAATTATCTATGAAGAAATATCCGAATTCAAGACATTAGTAACTAGCAAAATAAATGTATAAAGCAAAAGTTCGCTAGCTACTCAGCTTCAGAATCTCAAAGTTGACAAGTTATTTATACTTGCAAGATTGAGTTCAAATCCACATATCAATGTTTTTGCAAGTAAATAATTTTATCCACACAATCAACTGGTTTATATTTACTAATTTGGCACGTAGTCCATAGTGGCCAAAATGATATATATCATCCTCCCAGATTATCAACAAAATCCACAATACTATGCCGCAATAAAATTTTTAGCAGCCTAATCATATACTTTCTTTCGAGTGGAAAGAAATAACGACAAAACAATCACAAAATTTCAGAACATGCAAATTCTATATAGCATTTTTCTGTATAGATATTTTTTACATGTGTGAGAATATGGTTCACCTAACACCATCTATTCAGTTTTTTGTGGACCATTGGATGAAGATCGACGGCCGAGATTTCATCTTGGGGGAGATGTTGTGACTTGATGGTATTGATGTTGACACAATAAGGTCTTCCCACGTTTTTGGCAGAGAAAGAGGAGCTCTCGGTTTTTTTCCCAGCAGAAAGTGAGCTCTTGGTTTTAGCTTAAGGTGGTGGTTCTTTGCTGGATTTTCCCCCCCCCCTCTCTTTGAAGGTGATTTGCAAGTCATGGAGGGTTGTTCCTGAGCCTGAAAAACACCCATAAATAGAAGAAGAAGCTGCTGAAACGAGGAAGGAAAACTGCAGAAATTTCGGCCAAAGACAGGTTGCATTTTTCCATCCCTTTTTCATTGTTTTGCCTTAGAATTTCTTCTATTGTTTGATGTTTTGGTTGATTGAACTCCTAGGATCCCCAACAAACTGGTATCAGAGCTAGGAGGAGTGATATTAGTCCAAAATCAATCAAAAACCAGCAAGGAAATCGCCATTACCACTTTCTGACCAAATCTGAAAACTTGATTTCCGGCCAATCTATTGACTTTCCGGCGAAATGGACCATGGAACCATGACCAGCAGGAGGAGGCGCACCCTGTGGTGGGGCGCGTGACCGGCGGCGGCGGCTCCGGCGAGCTTTTTTCGGGCAGTTTACTTATTTTGACGTCCTGAACGCACTGATATCGTTTGTTTTCTGTTTCAGATTTTACAGAAAAAGTTGGACGATTTTGCCCCTAGCTTGACGTCTACGGCAATTTGGTTCAGAAACTTGGTGGTATATTTACTGTTTGTCAACAGTAGTTTGGTAAGAAGAATTTGACAAAAATTGGATTCTTGACAGAGGGTGCACTTTTCATATGTGCCCTTATAGGTCTTGGTTTTATAACTATAGGGAGACTGAACCTAGAAAGGTCTACATGGGAGACAATGATTCTCAAAATGTGATTGGAGTTGATGACATAGCCATCAGGATGTACGATGGGACCGTCACGCAACTTAGAAATGTTAGATATGTCCCAATTTAAAGAGGAACCTCATTTCCTTAGGTTCTCTGGAAGATGAGGGATATACCTTCTCATTTCCTTAGGTTCTCTGGAAGATGAGGGATATACCTTCAAGTCTGGTAACAAGATTTTGAAAATTATGAAGGGTTCTCTTATAGTTATGAAGGGGCCCAAGAGGAATGGGCTGTACTATCTTGAGGGTAGAACTGAAATACCATTTGATTCTAGCCTTCTTGCTGTGAGTAAAGACAAAACTGAACTTTGGCATAACAACATTGGGTTTAAAGGTCTAAAATCTTTAAGTAATCAGAAATTACTTGGAAAAGATGACATTGAAACTATGGAATTCTGTGAAACTTGTGTTTTGGGTAAGTCTCATAAGGTGAGTTTTGAAGCTAGCTCTCATAGGACCAGCAGACCATTGGACTATGTCCATGCTGATCTATGGGGCCCGGAGAAGCACTCCACATTTGGTGGGAGCAAGTACTTCTTGTCCTTAGTGGATGATTACTCAAGAAAAGTTTGGATTTATCCTTTGAAGGCTAAGTCGGAAACTTTTGGAAAATTCAGGATTTGGTTAAAATCTGTTGAGAATCAGTTAGACAAGAAACTTAAAACGTTAAGAACTGATAATGGGCTTGAATTCTGTAATAGGAAATTTGACAACTTCTGTAAGCAGAAAGGTATAACAAGACACAGAACTGTTAAATACACACCTGAACAAAATGGGGTCCCTGAAAGAATGAACAGGACCATAATAAGCAAAGTTAGGTGTATGTTGATTAGCTCTGGCCTTGTGAAAGGTTTTTGGGCTGAAGCTGCAAGTACTGCAACTTATCTAATTAATAGGTCTCCGTCCAGCAGTATAGGGTTTAAGACCCCACAGGAGTTGTGGACGGAAGAGCCTCCAAATCTGGAACACTTGAGGGTGTTTGGATGTGCTGCATATGCACATCAATTTGAAGGGAAACTTGAGCCCAGGGCTGTCAAGTGTGTGATGTTAAGGTATCCCGAGGGTGTGAAGGGCTATAGGTTATGGGTTTTAGGGGTCCAAGGCATTAAGATTATTAACAGCAGGAATGTAGTCTTTAATGAATCTGAGATGCCATGTCTAAAACAGAAAATCGAAGAAGCTAACAAATCTGAAACTGAGAAGAGTATTCAGTCTGAGGTGAAGCTGACTAGGCTAAGTTCACCTACACCTGGAAACGACGAAAATGACCCTATACATCATGAAAATGAAATTGAACCTGAACCTGAACATGAAGAGGTGACTGAACTTCAAGATAACATTGAACCAGTTGAAATTGAACATTTTAATGATCAGCCACCTAATCAAGATTATCGGCTTACTAGGGATCGGGGGAGGAGGCAGATCAGGCCAAATCCTAGATATGAATCCCTAAACTTGACTGATTTTACCTTGGTTTCAGGTGAAGCCCTTGAACAGATAGAACCT